CAGTCTCACTAAACCTGAGCTCACTGATTCTGACTGGTCTAGAGCCTGGCTAATTTAGCTAGCCAGCTTGCCTCTGGAGTCCTGGGGTTACAGGCGGGCCCTGTTCCTGCCTGGCTTTTACATTGATTCTAGAGATCCAAACATTGGTCCCTCCTCCAGCTTGTGTCCCCAGCCTTGTTTTTGTTTTTTGAGATAGAATCTGACCCTGTAACCCAAGCTTAATCTAGCTAGCCAGCTTGCCTCTGGAGTGCTGGGGTTACAGGCGGGCCCTGTTCCTGCCTGGCTTTTACATTGATTCTCGAGATCCAAACATTGGTCCCTCCTCCAGCTTGTGTCCCCAGCCTTGTTTTTGTTTTTTGAGATAGAATCTGACCCTGTAACCCAAGCTGGTCTGTAACTTAAGGCAGTTTTCCTGACTTTGCCTCTCAAGTGCTGGGGAGCCGTGTGAGTCCCCACCCCTTGCTTGGAGAAGCCAAGCTGCTTCTCCTGGAGAAAACCAGGCTGCCCTCAAATCAAAGAGCTCTGCCTCTGCTTCCCAAATGCCAAATGTGTGTATCTATTAAGGATTAATTTATTATTCTGGGCATGGTGGCCCACCCCTCTAATCCCAGCACTCAGGAGGCAGAGGAGACAGCTCTCTGTGAGTTTGAAGCCAGCCTGGACTGCAGATGGAGTTCCAGGACAGCCAGGGCTACACAGAGAAACCCTGTCTCAAAAAAACCAACTTCCCCCACCCTCCCAAAAAAATTGTGGACAAGGTCATTCATCCTTGTATCTCCACCCATGTACGAGATGAATAAATGTAACAAAAATTTTAATTTAAACTTTATTTTGCTGGGTTAGGCTTATTTTTACAGCATATCCCAGTGGTGTAAGGGCTCCTGCAAACACATCTTGACTTGGAGGACAAGGGGAATTTGGGAGCTGGGGTCCTTGAGTGCCAGATAGTGGCAGACTGGGGTGGGACCTCATGGTGACCAGGCTGTTAGTCACCATATGGGGCTAGTGTTCCTGCTGTCCCAGAGTCCCTCTTGGGGAAACTTCCAGAGTACATTTGGGCTCAGAAGTTGGGAAAGAAGGGCCTGCATGAAGGTGAGGCAGTTGAGGCTCCAGGAAGAGTCTCAGCTACGTGACACTGGTTCTTGGGGCCTGTATGCCACACCTTCTCCCTACTGCTTACTGTCCCAGCTGCCTGTTGCCACAGGACTGTTGCAGGGCAGTGATAGTGGCCTTGGGAGGATGCTGCTTACAGCTGGTGTGTCTTGCCTGTATGCCACACCTTCTCCCTACTGCTTGCTGTCCCAGCTGCCTGTTGCCACGGGACTGTTGCCGGGCAGTGATAGTGGCCTTGGGAGGATGCTGCTTACAGCTGGTGTGTCTTTCCAGAATGGCATCATCACTGGTGTGTTCCCGGCGAGTCCCTCCAGCTGGTTTATCGTGGTGGTGGGTGTGATATCATCCATGCATGCCAAAGTGGACCCCTCCCTGGGCATGATTGCAAAGATCAATCGGACCCTGGACACCACGTGAGTAAAGCCCCCCCCCAATCTTTGTAGGAAGATGATAGTACCCTGTTGACTGTCCTTGCTTTGGACTCTCCATGAGACCACTACTGCCCTTCCACACGGGTCCTCTTCACTTTCCTGACCCGGTATTGAAATCCCTTGGAAATCTATAGACACAGCCACCCTCCTATGGAGAGTAGGCCAGGAATGGCAGAGGCCTGGGGTACCCACCTTCCACAAGGTGTCTGTCTCCCTGAGGTCAAGCTGTGGCAGTAGATGGAGCCAGTGATGGCTCAGGGAGCATCTCTGCCCCAGAAGATGGCTCCCAGTGTGGCTGTTCCACTGGAGTTAGTTTATCCAGTGATCTGGTCCCCTAAACCAGCTGTCATTGGTTGCTTAGGGACACCAGCCTTTGGCCCCTTCAGAATGACTTAAATCCCCCAGTGTACCTTAACTTTGAGTTTTAGTTTATTCTGGGAACTTGAAAGTACTTGTCACCCTGTTTAGAGACAAGGCCAAACCAGCTTCTGGCTTTTCTTTCCTTAGTAAATTTTTGGTTAAAGACAGTATCTCACTGTGTAGCTCCAGATGGCCTGACTGTAGACCAGGCTGGCCTTGAGCTCACAGAGATCCACTCCGTCTGCCTTTGTTTCCCAAGTGCTGGGATTAAAAGTGTGCCACACCATGCCTGACTTTTTTTATTTTTATGTATATGAGTGTTTTGCCTACATGTATGTATGTATGTGTACCATGTGTGCCTGGTACCCTCAGAGGCCAGAGGAAGCTGTTGGATCCCCTGAAACTGGAGTTACAGGCAGTTGTGAGCTACCTGATATGGGTGTTGGGAACTGAACTCAGGTCCTTTGCAAGAGCAACAAGTGATCTTAACCACTGAACCATCTCTCCAGCCCCACAGTACTTTTCTTTAAAAGGGGGTCCTTTGTACCTAGGGTCTCCTGCTGGATGCTGGCCCTGCTCTAGAAGGTAACATGAAAGCATTCTATACCCTTCTCTCCTTTTCTGGGATAGCATGAAGGCTTGGGCCTCATGCATGCAAGGCTAACTCTTACCACTGAACCATGTACCAGCCTTAGGTCACCTCTGGTGGCAGTTATTCCATGCAGCTCTGACAAGTCCCTGACACCATATAGGATGGAGGATGTTAGACCCTCTCAGTGGCTAGACACAGGACACCATGCCTCAGTTACCTTGTGCACTGTGACCCCTGCATTTGGGCTTTCTCTTTTGTTCTTCTGAGACAGGGTCTCAAGCTGCTGTGTAGCATAGGATGACCTTGAACTCTTGATGAACTTCACCTTCCTGCCTCTCCTGGAACTGCAGGCATGTTCTATCACACTGGGTTCAAACAAGTAGTTTCAGAATCGTCTCTAGTTGTCCTGTGCCCAGTGTCTTTCACAACATGTCCTTCAGTGGGTTTATAACCAAGGAGCAATAGCCACAAGGTCCTTGCCATACACTTGGCCTTGTTTTCTGGCCAGGAGTTGTGAAGAGTCAGTACAATGTCAAGGGATAGGGCCAAGCTCAGCTGGAAGTGTGACTTCAGTGCCGTTGGAAGTCAGTTGAGGGCGTTGGATCCCTTGGAGCTGGAGTTACAGGTTGTTATGAGCCACTCCACCACATATGCTGGGAACAGACCTTGAACTCAGGTCCTCTGGAGGAGCAGCACCGACCACTGAGCAATCTGTCCAGCCCAGATCTGAGCCTTTCTAATCTTGCTTTCCTGGTTGTTCAGGTGTAGAGACTGTACACTAAAAAGAGTTGCAAAAGCAAACTGGTAAGATTGACCCCAGGGGACACCCACAGCCGGAGGAGTTGGTTTCTGCTGACTCAAAGAGATGCTTGGATTTGACCCAGCAGCATGGGTGGCTTAGGACAGCTTGGGAAGGTGCTCCGAATCTTGGAAATGGTCTTTAGTGGGCCTCCATGCCCTGCCCCCTGATTGAGACACCCAGGAGTTACAGAGAACCCAGCCAATTAGCCTCTAGCTCTCCAGGCAACATTGGTCATGCCTTTGTAAGCAACTGCAGGAGACCAGATAAAAATGCCTGTTCAGGAGTCCTGCCAAGGGCCTTGTCTGCCTGGGTCCTGGGACATCCAGCAGGGGCTAGGTTATCAGCAGCAAGTGGTGGATCTGATCACTACAGACTGAACCTGTACTGTCCTCCTACAGGTCCTGAGCATGAGGGAAGCCCTGTCAACAGCTTGCATGCTGCTCTGGGTGTTGAGCTGGCTGTCTGGTTGAAGGTAGCTGCAGGGAACAGTTTTGCTTTGCTGTTAACATGGGCTGTGCCTCAAAGCCGATTGCACATAGCTGTGCCAGCTACTAAAATCTTGTTTAATCTCAGTCTTTATAAGATTTGTTTCTTTGTCCTTTGGAATCTATTTTCGTAAACTGGGTCATCTCTGGCCCAAATTTAGAAAGGCCAGGTGAAGGGTCAGAGACCTGCAGCCTAGAGGGTTGTTCTGGAACCATCTTCCAGTTGAGGACAGAGCTCTTGTGTCCCTAGGCTGTGGTTTTGTTTGATTAGAACTGAAAAGAAGATCAAAGAGGCTAAAGACCCAGCAGAACTTTGGTTTACTTTATTTTTTTTTTCTATTTTGTTTTTTAAGACAGGATATCTCTATGTAGTCCTGGATATCCTAAAACATGCTGTGTAGACCAGGCTAGCCTTGTGAACTCATAGAGATCTGCTTGCTTCTGCACGAGACATTATGAACAGCTTGGATTGTTTTTTATTGTATGTGTAAGCATGTTTGGCCTACATGCGTGTCTGTGTACCGTAAGTGTACCTGGTACCTTCACAGGTCATAAGAGGGTATCAGATCCCCTGGAACTAGAGGTCTAGGCAGTTATGAGCCTCTGTGTGGGTGTTGGAAACTGAACCCAGGTCCTCTGGAAGAGCAGCCAATGCCCTTAACCAATGAGCCATCTTTCCAGACATTTGAATGCTGGGTTTGACCAACTGTGGGAAAAATACAGTTCAGAGCATAAGTATTTTACATTAGAAGAAACTTGTCTCTTGTCACTTACACGATGTTAAGTTAATATTTTCCAAGATTAGAACTTTTATAGTTATTTATGCTATTGTTTTGACCATTTGGGGACTCAGTTGTTTTTGTTTTTTTTTAATAGAATCTCTTTAATTCATTCCTTGACAGTTCCATTCATGTCAACAGTATATGTTGATCATATCCATCCAAACTCTCCACACCCACTCTTTCTGTTAATCTACTGAGTCTGTGCCCCTGCTGGAGTGTTGACTCCTGCGGCTGGCTTGGCCTTGGCCCAGAGCCTCAGCGAGTTCTTAAGAGTATGTGTCATATCCAGGAGACAGCATTTCTCAGCTCTGCTCCGTCCTGCTGCTCTTGCATTCTTTCCACGGATTCTTCCTTGATGTCTTGTGAGCCTTGCAAAGGAGGGAGCTAGTTTTTATTTTTGCCACTATTTCTCTATTTTCCAAAACAACTAAAATAGCTGCATTTTTGTCTTGGTTTTTCTTTCATGATCGGTGACTTTGTTTTTGTAAGTATTTAAAATCTTTTAATTTTTTGTTTTAGATTTACTTATTTTTATTTATATGTATTTTTTGGGAGGTTTGTTTTTTAGACAAGGTCTCACTGTATATTTAGACCAGGCTGATCTTGAACTCACATAGATCCACTTGTGCCTCCAGGTGCTGGGACATTTGAGTTTCTTAAGAATAAAAACAATATGTATATTTGAGGACTTGGAGTGTTGCTCAGGGTTTGAGCCCTTGCCTAGCATGTATGAAGCCCTGAGTTCAGTTGTGGGCACAGCAAAAACTAAGCAAACACAAACAAAGGATGTTTGAGAGGGTGGGGAAAAGCATTATGATCTGAAGAAGATGGGCCAGGATGCCTGTGGGCAGAGTAGTTGGTGGCCCCCACCCACTGGAAAGGGTTGCCATTGTAAGCAGGGCTCCTCCCACAGGGGACCTCTCCACTGTTCAGAATTTCTTGGGTCACTAGTGGTCTCTTGCTTCTTCCTTGACGATGGAAGGCTCACTCTGTTGCACAAGCTTGTCTCTGGCCTCTGCCTCCAGAGTTCCAGGACAAGAGGACACTCTGCTACACCCAGCCAAGGCTGGCCCATTTTGAGAGGGATAGAGAATGTCACAAGCACTAGGAAAGCTAGTAGGTCCCTCAGGCTTCCTTCTCTAATGAAGCCAACCCTGCTTTGGGGTGCTGCAACCTATTCTCTCCTGTCCTTTGGAAGGCACTTAGTCCCACAGCTTGGTGGTAGTTGCTGTGGCCACCTTCCCACGTTGATGCCTTAGCTACTTGTCTGGTCCATCCCCGCAGTGGCCACATGTCAAGCCAGACGAAGAACATCGTGAGTGGCATCCTCTTTGGCACTGGACTCTGGGTAGCAGTCATCATGACCATGCGCTACTCACTGAAGGTGCTGCTCTCCTACCATGGCTGGATGTTCGCAGAGCATGGCAAAATGAGCCGAAGCACCAGGATCTGGATGGTAACTACCTGTCACGAGCTAGGGGACCTGCCAAACTGACATCACTAGAGGAGGACGCTTGCCTTGTTAGACCTCTTCTCCTTTGCTCCTTGGTGTGTGACCTTTCCCCAGGCTCATCTTGACACTCCCATGGAGCTGAGGGCTGCTTGCTAATGGCTTCTGGGAATTCTGCCATCTCTCTGTTCACCTCTGTTCAGCCTGTAACTCAGGCTGGATACTGAGCCTAAATGCCACCCACCAGGTCTTGGTAGCCTTGGGGCCACTTTGTAGTCAGACACTTTGCCTGGTCAGTCGCATGATTTATCCTGACCCTTCAGTGCTCTCCATTTCACCCTGGCCCTGAGACCAAGCACCCTCATTTAAGGAAGAAGGCTATGTCATATGCACCGGTGTTGTCAAGCCTTAAGAAATTGTGGAGATGTTTTGTTTGTTTATTGTTTTTACTTTTTGAGAGGAGGTCTCATGTCACCCTGGCTGGCCTTGAATTTACTATGTAGCCAAGGATGACCTTGAGTTTCTGGTTCTCCTGCCTCCAACTCAGGCATGTACTACCCTGTCTGGTTTTTATGAGATGCAGGCGATCAAACCCAAGCTTTCATGCATAGCTTAGTTCAGTGAGCATTCTACCCACTGAGCCATATCCAAAGTCCCAGCTACTTGTTTTTACAAGCCTAGTTTTCTGGGGTGGGGGTGGAGAGTGGCCATCCAAAGTGGAGATCACTCCTGGGGCCTCCCTCCACTGTGTGGCTGTCACATGTACCCCACTCACATATGGCCAGCACTCTCAGCTTCTGCTCTTCAGTTCTGTTTCTTGCAAAGAAACTAATTTTCTGTTCCCAAGGTTTGTAAATGATTTCAATGAATCTGGTCCTACTGAAATTGTCTTTTGAATTGCTTCTCTCTAGGGATCCTTGTTGGTACTTGGGAGGAATGGGTCAGCTTGACCTTGGCCTACAGGCCAGCATACGCCCATCACCCCCACTTATGACCTTTTCTTTTGGGGTCACCTTGCTACCTACCACACACTCCACTCTGTCCCAAACCAACTTCTACTTTGTCTGAATTTTCTAATGTCTAGAGTAGCAGAACTTAAGGCCAGGATAGAGACGGTTTCCCATGGGCTTAACAGCCCTCATGGCTGATGTTGAGCTGAGTCCCAGCACTCCTGAGCACAGATAATTGTCACTACCCGATCCTTGAACCCTTAGAGCTGCCCTGGTTCCTGTCAACAGGAGACAGCTGCCTTCTATACCTGGCCTGCATCAGCCTTCCTAGAGGCTGTGGGAGGTGCTTCACTTCCCATGTTATTTGGCGTGATGGGCAGGGACACCCTGCAAACCCTGAGGGTGGCTTGAGGGCTAGGTACCTCAACTGACCTTACTCCCTGTATCCAGAGTTTACAGCAGCCTCAAACCAAGAATCTTTCAAGAGTAGGCCATCAGCCCAATTGTAGAAGTGTTGTAGGCTCCAGGGTTCCTGGCCAGGGGTGACAGCAGCCACATCTGAAGCCTCTGTCAGACTTGGTTTTCGTTCAGCCCAGTTTTTACCTGATAGTGTAGGGCAGGGAATGGCCCCACCATAAACACTCAGCAAGTTATGTGCAGGTGAACCCTGGCTTTGGCTCTTTAACACAGCCTCATCTTTGAAATGTGACTTGTATCTTCAGGCTATGGTGAAAGTCTTCTCAGGCCGAAAGCCCATGCTATACAGTTTCCAGACATCTCTGCCGCGCCTGCCTGTCCCAGCCGTCAAAGACACTGTGAGCAGGGTAGGTGTGACTCACCCTCGTGCTGAGATGCCTGCATCCTTTGGATCTCTATGTCTCACTGTTACTGTAAATTATAGTCTCGTCTCTTTATTAGTGCTCAGCAGCCTCTCCTGTAGGGTTAGTATAACAATGCCACCCCACCTCAGAGTCCTTGCATTGACTAGACAAGTGTTCTACCATTAAGCTACATCTGCAGCCCTTTTAAATGTAGTTTTTGCATACAAGGTCTTGCTAGGTAACCCACACTGACCTTGAACTCTTAAATTTTCTTTTAAGATTATTATTATTTTTTTGCTTTATGTGTTTGAGTGTTTGACTTTGTGTAGATGTGTACACTGTAGGTATGCCGTGCCCACCATGTATATGCAGTGCTTAAGGAGGCCAGAAGGTGGTGTTGGATCCCCTGAAACTTGAGTTACAAACAGTTGTCAGCCGCCAAGTGGGTGCTGGCAATAGAACCCAGGACCTCTGCAAGGGCTGCCAGTGCTCTTAACTGCTGAGCCATCCCTGCAGCCCCGTGACCTTGAACTCTTGACATTTTTGCCTTAGCTTCCTGTTGCTGGGATGATAGACATGTTTTATCATACTTGGCTTGATGTTTTTCTTGAGTGCATTAATTGATCTTCCATGCTTGAAGGTGCCATATCTCACCTGCTTTTTAATAGCTTTATTGAAATATAGTTTAGCACCATATGTTTCCCTCACTTAATGTGCATGGTTCAGTAATTTGAGTGCATCCATTATTTTAAACTGTGACAAACACATACAAAACCCACGTTTATTATTTTTTTAAAGGCTGGACATGGTAGCATATGTCATTAATCCTAGCACTCAAGAGGCAGAGGTAGGCAGATCTCTGTGAGTTTGGGGTTAGACTACATAACTAGTTCTAGACTGGACAGTGCTACACAGTGAAATCCTGGAGAGAGAGAGAGAGAGAGAGAGAGAGAGAGAGAGAGAGAGAGAACGGTTCAGTCAGTAAAATTATTGCCTTGCAAGCACAAAGGCCTGAATTTGATTCATCATTAAGGAGACGGTTCAATCAGTAAAATTATTGCCTTGCAAGCACAAAGGCCTGAATTTGATTCATCAGAGCCCATATGAAAATACCAGGTTTGTGACACACTTGTAACTCCATACTGGGGAGTGGAGACAGGAGGATCCCTGTGGCTCACTGCCCAGTGAGATGAGCCTGATTGCTAAACTCCAGGCTGAAAGACCCACTTCCAAGGGGTGGATGGTGTTTGTAAGGATGGCACCTGAAGACCTGTGTCTCCAAATGCCTCCATACATGTTTGTATCAATGCATGTGCTTGCATGTATGCCCTTGTGTGCACACACACCCGGGTGTAAACATTTCAGCTGTTTTCAAGTGTAAGCTCATTAGCGCTAATGATATCTAGGGCATTGTGCAATTGTGACCACTATGGATTGTCAGGCATTTTTATGGCCTCAAGCAGAAGTCATAGCCATTAGGCAATAACTCCCACGCTCCCTGCCCTGAGTCTGCCAACCTCTGTTCCACTTTCTGTTCTAGTTGTGCTTCGTCAGGGAATATGACATGAATGGAATTATGTAATATGTGACTCTTGTGGTTTTCCCCACACACACACCAGCATCTATTTTTCTTTGAGGCAGGATCTTACTGTATAGCCCAGGTAGCCTCAAGCTTGTAATCCTCCTGTCTTAGCTTCCCAAAGCGGCATGATTCTAAGATTCATCCCCGTCCCAGCATGGCTGGGCTTCTCCCCTTTTTGTGGCTGATAACCCTCATTGTGTGGGTACATCATGTGGGCTGTGTTTTAAGTATTGAAGCTGGGAATGTTGATGCAAGTGTTTTTATCTGGATGCCTGTTGCTGCTTCTTGATGGCAAGTGTCCACGGGTGGGATTTCATGCCACAGAGAAGCAGAGTGGCTCTGTCTTGAGCCTGATCTGCTGTAAAATGCCACATCCCAATTTTCAGAACTGTAAATCGAAACCATCTGAACTTCAGGGGAATTCAGTCTTCCTGCCTGCTATGGTGTAGTGCTCACCCCAGAGTGTACAGAGCCCTCCTTCCCCTTTTGAGACAGGATCTCACATTGCTCAGACTGGTCTTGAACTCCCTAGATTTCCCAATGTAGCTGAGGATGACCTTGAACTTCTGATTCTTCCGTCTCTACCACCTAAGTGCTGGGATTGCAGACTAATCCTACTATACTCAGTTTTATGCAGTGCTGGAGATAGAATCCAGGGCTTTTTGTGTGCTAGGGAAGTGATCTGCCAACAGAACCCCAGGAGAGTGCAACCTTTCTGTTTCATCAGTGCACCTGTTGCACTTGGAGTTGGCCTCAGACAGTAGCAGCTGGCCCTGCTGAGGAACGGCCCTTCCCCTCATTGTGCAAAGCAGGCCCTAGAAAACACTGCTGTCCCCAAGCTGGTGTTTGTTTATTTATTTTTTGTTTGTTTTGAGACAGGGTCTCACTGTGTAACCTTGGTTGGTCTGGAGGTGTTCATGTAGACCAGACTAGCCTCCTCTACCTCCTAAGTGCCGGGATTACAGGTGTTCTGCATCACACCCAGTTCCAGACCTGGTTTTGTTTCCTGACAAATTAGATTTGACGGTAGTTCAGCTTCCTGAAACTCAGTCAGATACAGGTGGGAGCTTAGCCAGGCATGTGAGTACATGCCTGTCATCCTAGCACTTGGGAGGCCGAGGATCAAGAATTCAAGACCAGCTAGCTTCAGCTGCATAGTGAGTTTGAGTCCAAATTAGGATCCACCATGAGATGCTGTCTTTTTTTTTTTTTTTTTTTTTTTTTTTTTTTGGTTTTTCGAGACAGGGTTTCCCTGTGTATCTTTGGAGGCTGTCCTGGAACTCGCTCTGTAGACCAGGCTGCCCTCGAACTCATAGAGATCCCCCTGCCTCTGTCTCCCGAGTACTGGGATTAAAGGCATTTGCCACCAATGCCCGGCTGAGACCCTGTCTTAAAAAAGAAAAGATTATGTGTAAAATATCCCTGTGTTTTAACTCCAGACATGTTCAAGGTGTGCATTTGTCAGTTTGTCTGAACTGAGCAACTAGACCCTGGAACCATGGTCCTGTCCTGCTTTGCCTAGGCACCTGCATGACCCTCACTGGACTTTCAGGGCTGTCACACCCAACTCAGGATGCCACATCCCAGTCATCATTGAAGTAATGGCCAAATAGTGGTTAAGAGATGTCTGATACCTCCTCCATGAGGAAGCAGTGACCTTGATTATCACTCATCTGACACAATGTTCAGCCCTGCAGGGGTTTTCTTATCTGTTAGACAAGGTTAGGTTAGAGGGCAGACTAACCAAGGGAAGCTTTCCAAACCTTTTCTACTCGGTCTGACTTTTCTGAAGTGGTCCGTGGCTTGGGGACTGGGTGTCTAACTTAGCCCATGTTTTCTTACTCCAGTACTTGGAATCTGTCAGGCCACTGATGAAGGAAGGAGATTTCCAACGCATGACAGCGCTGGCCCAGGATTTTGCTGTCAATCTCGGACCCAAATTGCAGTGGTATTTGAAGCTGAAGTCCTGGTGGGCCACAAATTATGTAAGTATGTCTGCACACGAATCTTTTCTCATAGATCTTCTCACACTGGTTATTTCAGTGTGGAAGTTACTGTTTGGGTACCAGGGCTCACGGAGTCCTAACTCTAGTTGAGGGCAGCCATACTCATCCCTGAGAACTGTGCAAGAGGGCATGTTGGGGGTGTGAAACCAAGAGGGGGAGTCCAGATGTAAGGAATAACTTGCATGAAGATAAGCAGTTGAAAATAACCTATATCAAACCAGACACAGTGGTACAGGCCTGTAATCCCAGCACTTAGAAGGCAGAGGCAGGAGGATTGTGGGCTCAAGACTAACCAGGACCGCATAGTAAGACCTTATCTCAAGAAAAGCTCTTAAACTTTTTTTAAAAAGGTGTTTCTTTTTGTTTATGTATACGTGCCTAGGTGAGTTATTTGTATTACATGGATGTAGGTGCTCACGGAAACTAGAGGGCAGTGGATCCCCTGGAAATGGAGTTTTAGGTGGTTACAAGCTGCCCAACATGGGTTCTGGGAGCCAAATGTGGGGTCTTCTGCAAGAGCAGAATGCACTCTTAACTACTGAGCTCTCTCTAGTCTCTCAAACAGAAAAAAAATTCTAAGGGTGGGGAAGGAAACTCAGTTGATAGAATCCTTGCCAGTTGTGTACAATGCCCTGGGTTCAGTCCCCAGCACTGCAGCTGTGTTGGTCTCACACACATGTATTCCCAGGGCTTGGGAAATAGAGGCAGCAAGATCAAAGTTCACGGTCGTCTGTGGTTATATAGAGTTCAAGGTGAGCCTGGAACGCATGAGACCTGCTTCAAAAACAAACAAACAAACAAACA